GAAAGAGTGGTTGTGTTTTATCAGGAGGCATTTAATAGACTGATGAAATACAGATCTATTAAATATCAGATTCTATGTTCCTTGATATGATCATATACCTCATTTCAGAGGACTGTAAGAAATTGTTGATGAAAAAAAGATGGCATCAGCACGAACATTTTAACTTAAGTCTTACACAAAATATTACTGAAAAGCTAATAATTCCCAAGGTGAAATATTTCAGTTATAAGTTAATTGTTAGTTAAGTTACAGGTAACTGTGTGTTTTAAATGTTAAAAAGGTTGTCAGCTTTACCGAATGCTGTTGGTTTAGAGACCACTGTTTAAAAATACAAGCTCAAATTCTGCAAGAAGCTTACATGTATCTTTAAATAAGAGTTAAGTTAAATGGGTTATAACACTTATAATAAACTTACCTTTTGTATTTTTCAGCCTTCTGTTTTGTACTGGTTTTAGCCTTCAGATTCATTCGGACACTTTTGGTCCATACTTTGATTGCACTGGTTGTATTTGGGTTGTTATGTAAGTATATTTACCTTTTAGCATATGCTTAGTTTAATGGATCACCACAGAGAACTGAAGGAGAGGCAGCTGAACAAACAGCTATCCTTTGTCTCCATGGCCATCCTCAGTAACCTTAAGCTTACCACAGCCATTTCAAAGCTGAGCCCTGCCTGCCTGTGGGTGCCAAGGTCTGGCTGTGCTGGTCCAGCTGCTGAGCGTTGGGATGGTGATGATTTTTACTTTTTTATGGATGCCTGGAACAACATTTGTTTTGGCAGATGAATGCAGTTATTAACATGCTACTGTTTCAAAGAAAGTTTTACGCTGCCTGCTTTAGAGAGGGAGAGCTATAGGAACGTGTCCAGCTAAAGCTTGTCATTCCATAGAAGTTGGCTTTGTATCTCCGCAATGAATTACTGGATGCCTGAGCTTTAGAGTAACTGCAAGAAAAACAAACATTCTGCTGCAGTTTTACCTCAGGCTAACAGACTGTTAAGTGAATTTTCTCTGATCATTGATACTGTTCCTCTCTGCTATGTGACAATTTTCCTGAGGTGAGCTTGGGTTAGGTGGAGGGGTGAGAGACTCAGGAGGGAGGCCATGCAGACATCAGCCTGCCAACAGCAGTGTGCTGCAGCCTGGGGAGGGCTGCCCACCTTCACGCTGCTCTTGTTTGCTCAGTTGTCTCAGGTGTTCTCTGGTGGCTCTATTATGACTACAGGAATGATCCCATCACTGAATTGGAAACACAAAAGGAAAATGTAAAATTTCTACTTGGATATGCTATCTTCTCAACAATAGTTACCGTAAGTAGCATTTTACCCTAAGCAATGGCAGAGGCTCTAACTTGAAAACCTGAACTACAGTGGTTCTGCAATAGTAAAAATAATTAGTCATTCCTTCTAGATTTGAAAATGAGAATTATAAGATCTGCTTCCACTCATTTAAATAGTTTTACATTTTCATTGTGAAATTAGTTTGTCAGCACAGGGCTCTGCCACCCTTCAACCCTGTACACACAGTGTTAGCATTGATGGTGTAGAAATGCAAGAATTGTGTTCCATCCACATTCTTCTCTGCATCAGCTAACTGGAAAATCATGTTGAGTGAACAGAGGAGTGCTGGCTTGATACGAATGTGAGATCTGTAGATTCAGCCTACCTTGTCAGTAGGAGACAGGAGTGGCAGCTCTTTTGGACAAGGAAATGGATAGTGAAGCACAGGCAGCGGTGTCCAGGCCTTTTTACCCTTTTTACCCTTTTAACAGGGTTAAATTCTGTTCTTCTCTCATTGACTTGTTTTCAAACAGAAAATCTGAGTGTGGCTTGCAACTTTTAAAGTGATTTTTTTCAGTCTGATGTTGCAATGTTAGAGGAGTCATTGCTCAATATGAGTGTACAACTTGTACTTCATGAGACATTTGTCAAAATGATAGTATTCTGTTTTCTTAAAGCAGAGTAGGATCCGTAGGCTGTAATTCACCAGATATGAACAGTCTGACAGTTTACAGTGACAAATATAAAATATGTCACAGCTCAGATTTTTATCATGTCCTCTAAGTTATGGCCTTTTTCCTTCTGTTGATACTGTGAAGGGGTAAGAAAAGGTTTCTTTGTCTGCATGTGTGTTCCAGTACAACTGACTGTCCTTTGCAGAACTGTGGGAACACCCACTGCTGCAGTTTACACTGCTCTTCAGAGCCAGTGGTTTCTTTCTAGAGCAGGAAAGAAAACTCGTGAAGGAGCTGCCACAGGTTGCGTGAAGGAGCTGCCACAGGTTGCATTTATTATTTTATAGATTCCAACCTCTCTTTTAATTGCTGTTCATATTTCCAAAGAACTGGGAACATTGTGGAGTTTTTGACTCAGGGTTTTGTTGTTGTGGTTTGGGTTTTTTTTTTTTTTTACTTTGGAAAAGAAAATATTTAAATGAGGTTTCATTTTATGTCTGCTTTGCTGCCATACATAAACAGCTCTCAAATTGTGCAACTGTCCTTTCTGCAGAAAAGCACTGGTCCTGCTGCCATTGTGAACAGTGGCAAATTGACCTGAGTAGGAAGAAAGTTTTAAATGTTCATGACATACAGCATACATGAAGGGAATGTGTAGCGTATAATATACATTTGTGTTTGCTGCAAAGCAAAACAGACAGTTTCCATTGGGTGAATTACAGTTTTGTGAAACCTATTTTGTTTTAAAGAAACAGTAGTAAGGATTTAAGAAAATTCTATTTTAATCCACATTCTTTGAGAATGTAGGCAGTGTCTCAGAAAGCTTTTCCAGTGCGCAGTAAGTTTGTATAGAATCACAGAATGGTTTTGGTTGGAAGGGACCTTAGAGATCATCTAGTTCCAACCCCCCTGCCATGGGCAGGGACACCTCCCACTAGACGAGGTTGCTCAGAGCCTCATCCAGCCTTGCTGTCATGTCTTCGTGAAATCTGTATCTCCTGGTCCCACATTTGACAATTTTGATACCTTTCTTAAGGAAAAAAACCAACAGTTTGTCTTTTTGTTTCCTGTAACAGGTTGTTCTGCTTTCCCTTATACTTACACTAAGAAAGAGGCTTCAGTTCACTGTACAGCTCTTTCAAATTGTTGGTAAAATCATTGGCAGGATTCCTTTTCTCCTGTTCCAGCCACTCTGGACCTTTCTGATTCTCGTTGTGTTCTGGGTATTTTGGGTTGCTGTACTACTTAGCTTAGGAACTGCAGGTAAGTATATGCTTTCCATGTTTTTAGATGAATGCTATCTGTTTCCTAAGTTCAGTTCTTAAATACGGGACCTCCTGGCATTAATGTACATAATGTGGGCGAGCACTGTTACATAGCCCTGTTATTCTTTTTTTTTTTTTCCCCCCCCACTTGCTGGGGTCTTCAACGTTGCCATAGTTCTGTGAGTCATAGCACTAAAGAAGAGATTTTTTTTTCTCCTATATCTGGACTTTAGTTTTGTAGTTTCTCAATTATTTAATTTCTGATTAAATTGTGGTAGATTCAGTATATTTTTGATGTATTTAAATAAAGAAATAACAGGAGGGAGGAGACAGCTTTTAGTGCAATTGTTATGAAATGAGAATGTTAATCTCTTCTGACTATAAACAAAGTCCAGTTGTCACGGAGGCAGAATGTTGTTTCTGAACAGTAGTTCAGTGACAACTGCTATCATTGTTTAGACTGGTACAACAGTATTTGGATTAATCCAGACCTTCTTGCAGTTGTAGAAATAGTCAACTGCTATGAAAGATCTGTGAGAACAGATTTTGAGTATGGAAGTGGTATTACTGAGGGACATACCACTATAAGATCTGTCACTGATTGAACTGTTGTAATTTGGATGCTGTCCCTTGGCCCAGCATCACACCATCCAAGGGAGGGGGAGGTTCTTCCGTGTAAGATCACCCAAAGAAGGGAAGCTAAACTCTGCGTAGCTCTGGAGATAACTCCTTATGCAGACATCAGCCTTTGTACGTAGGAAGCATTATGATTTGGAGTTTGGTTTTTTTTTTTTTTCATTTTTAATTTCTGGGGCCGCTGCTAGGAGTCTGTTGTCCTTTGGGTTGGAGCTGATGTAGAATTTATGTGGATAGAAACAGTTGTTTGTCATTCCCATATTTTATTCATGGGTTTTCTACTTACCTGCTTCTCCTGCAAAAGCATCAGACCTAGCAAGGCTGAATGTCCAGCTTGCAGTCTTTTTGTGAGTTATTCCTGGCTGACTAAATAGTCAAGCAGACTCACTTTGCTTTAGGTGTCATGGATATTCCTTTGCCACACTCCTCTGAGTTGGATTTTCCCTTTACAGGGGCAGCATTATGTGCTAGAAACAGCTTTGTGTTGTTGTTAGCTTTTCTGCAAAAATCTTCATCCTGTTTGTGCACATACCAGCCAGGCAGCAGTAATTTTCAAACTGGCCTTGTGGGACACCTTATCACTGATTCAGGACAGCCCTTTATAAAAAGGAGCATCTCGTGAGCAATCAACCAGCTGTTCATTTCATGCACCTGCTTGGATCAGCTGATCAGATACAATTTAAGATAAACATTAACTATAGTAAATCTAGTAGCAGGTAAGTAAAATGAATGGTAATACACAGATTTGCTAAATATATAATTAACAAGAACTATTAGAGGAAATACTACATCCTTGATGTTAAGCTGAGCTGGCCCGTTACCCACAGGAGTATTCACTGGTACCCTTAATGTGCACACACATAAAGATGGGAAGCTTGCCCTTGTTAAATCTAAATTTAGAAAATGCCAGCTGAGTCTGCTGTATTCAAAAGCTTTTGGAAATGCAGCAATCATTAGAAGAGTAGAAATATTTTAGCTTGTATGACAGAAACAGCTTGATGGCAAGTGCAGGATGGGGAACTAGTCAGGAATTTCCTGGATGCTTTTGCAGACTTTGTAGGAAAGTAGTGACTTGCACATTATATGAGAAAGCAAATTCCATGTGTATTCACGGGGAAATAAAACCCAATGAAAACTGCCTCTGAGAGGCTTTTTATGCTTTTTTTCGTGTTGTGCCATTTTCCTTCATGGGTTTATAACCCATTCTCTGTTTCCTGCTAGACATTTCCATTCAAAGTTGGGTTTTTTTTCTTGCCTTAGGGAGTAGGATTCAAACAGTTTATGACCTGCTGTTACATTCATAGTGCAGCACACGTCTCCTGGCTCAAAGGTATTTTATTTTATGTTTTCTCCCTAGCATAATAGGGATACTGATGTCTCCAGTGAGTGATATAAACAGTACAGTACAGAAGGCAGCGTAATCCTCCTGCACAGTGCACAGTAGAGCGATGTTAAAGTTTCTAGGATGCTCTCAGTTTTGAAAGAAATGTCTTTTTGCATATTTAGCATAAGAAGGGAGGGTCATTTCTAGGCACTTAGCTGTCAATATATTGGTAGTATGAGGAATCTATAGTTTTGACTGAGATCTTCTGCCAGGAGGATCTTACATCTTTAGTGTAGACATCAGTCCCTAACAGTTAGCATGTTAACATTTAGAAGAGGATGTGCATTTAATAAATAATACAAACCAGTTCCAAGTTACAGCCTAACGATGAATGCAGATAGAAAAATACCACTCTACGTATTCGATTATTTTTCTCGATTCTATTACTTTTATAATTTGTATTTGTAATTATTCTTTTTGTTAAGCTGTCTGTGTTAAATGGCTGTTGTTACCCAACAGGTGTAAGCAGAGTTCTTAGCAGAGTCCGGGGGCTGAGATGTTCGTGCAAGTAACGCGTAAATGACGTGCGGCAGCGCCAGTGCCCGCTAGGTGCCGATAAAGTTGTGTGGGAAAGTTTCTTTGAACCCTGGTGTTGTTTACAGCTGCTCTGGTTACAGAGTAATTCCGTCAGAGAGGAGTTAGAAAACAAGAAAGGCAATTTTAGCCTTTTAATGACCTGGGGAGGCAGTGAAGGATTGTTTTATTCAGTACTCAGGTTGAGGAGATTTGTCGAGGTGACACAGGAGGTCGGTATGATAGTTGTTTGGGTTTCCAGTCCCATACTCCATCTCAGATTTGTTTTGTAGTTCAAAACTTGGACAAATGAATGGTAGATTAGATTTGGTATTGATAATATTCCTTTATATTTTATTTTGAATTTTCAACCCAAGTGTGAGCCCTCTGAAATGCTGCCTGCTAAAGCAGCTCACGGTATGGTAGCTCACTGGGGGTTGTTTTGCTGTTCTAGGATGACTAGTACTTACACACCCTGTAAAAATAAATAAATGTAGTACTGTACGGTTCATAATGCACTGGCAGAACAGCTTTGTATTTGCTACTAGTTTTCTACAACCACCCTGTACGTGGAAGACATTTCTTTTGCTTTTTGAGTTTTGGGAACTTTCTGCAACAGCTGAGAGTACTTCTCTGAAGGTGTCCCAATGTACGCCCTCTTTGAGCAATTTGTTTTCTCCGTTGACAAATAGTTGCCTATCTGGGATTCAGTTTGTAAAATACGGATGGTGTTTTTCTTGGTTTTGACACTTGGATTTTTTATTCTCATAAATGTATTTTCTGGGGCTACGGAGACTATATTTTAAATGCAAATATACCAAGAGAGCTGAAAAAAATGAGATGTTTACAAAGACACTGGAATTTTGTGTCCTATAGAGAGATGGGCAAGTGAAATTGGCTTGCTACTGTGCTGCACCTGTTCTTAATGCTTTTCTTGAATCTTCACTAGTTATGTAACATTTATAGCATCTCTGTATCTTACAGCTCTGGAGCACTTGATCCTTGCTTCAGCTGTGGCGCACCTGCTCGTTATGAAACCGCACAACCACCTTATTTACATCCCCTCCAAAAGTTAGTGTTACTCTGAGAAAAGACTAACTTCTTGGGAGCTATAGAAAACTATAGCCTGTGCTTGGAAAGGTACTTATGCACATGACTAACCTGAAACACATGGATAATCCTATTAAAATCAGTGTGACTGCTTACGCATTTTAAAGTAGGCACCTGCCTAAGTACCTTGGTAATTCAGAACCTGTAAGAGCAGCAGAGACTGAGTGAATTCCAGACCTAGAAAACTAGGAGAAATGCCAGACTCCACGAGACTTGAGACTGCAGGAACAGTCGCACCAGTTAGAACTATTAGCTGGCTAGGAATGGAATTCAGCTGTGCTTTGGAAAAGCTGATATGTCTTAGGGTTGTTGAGTCTTATTGTTTGCTAATTTGTGCGGCATTTCACTGCAGAACTGAAGTGGCCATGTGGCGCAGCAAAGCATGTCTTTCAGCTTCCCACCATGTGGAAGCTGTGAAGTCCACATGGCATAAATCCTATGCATGTAATGTAGGATGAGAAGGCGGTGTGAGATTTTTGTGTAATGAAGGTGCAGCCTACAGGCAAGTGAGCAATAGATTCTGTGCCACATAAAGCTGTGCAGTAGCAAAACCAGCAATAAAAATGTATTTCTTGCAGGGTCCTTGACATTCCAATTACAGTCAGCTAGCTTAGCTGTAAATACTACTACATGGAAAAAAGCTAAATAAAATCACACAGTAAATTCTTTTGCAGGAAGCATGAAGATTCAGTGTATGATGCCAGAACTTTCCTCACTTAGCAGTGGGAAGGGCACGTCACATTTTCATGTTAACAGGAACTGATAAACAGGCTGTCAGTATTTTCTGGTCAGTGATTCTTTGTTTCTGATAAGGAAATTGCTGAACTAGACTTCCAAGAAATTTTTATCCCTTACAACAGCCTACTGCTGCAGGCATCAGCAAATCTTGCAGCAGCAGTTGCCAAGAAAGAGCATCTGACATAAGTCTGAAGGTACCAAAGTGTAGCTGATGTTACTGCATGTGCACACTGACTTCTGTGTCATTGCATGGCTCTGCTGGCTGACATAATGGCACAGCACTGAGCTGCAGAGTCAGATGGAGACACTCTTCTGAATTCTGCTGCAAACCCTTGTGCCTGTTTGCATTCTTAACAACACTTCTTTAAAGTATTTGCAACAGATCGACATTTGTACTCATCAGAGGTTTTCAGCTTTGGTGATTCAGCTGTAGGGACTTCAGCTCTGTACTGACTTCTTAATGTTATCACTGAGAGTGATAACCAGAAAGATTCGTGATTATGTAGCTGAAGAAAAATATTCTGTTGACAAACCATATTTCAGGGCTTTATGGAGAAAGTTTAGCTTGTGTGAACAGATAGATCACAGTGGAGTGATGAGGAAAATGGCATGTGCTT